CATTTATTTTAACACTAATGCTTCTTTCAGTTAAAAAGTTTCTTATCCATCTATAGATCTTACCTTTTATACCCATCTGTTTTATTTTAATCAATAAACCTTCTCTCCATAACATGTCATACGCCTTTTCCACATCCAAAAAAACTGCTATCACACTTTCTTTATTAGCCTGGGCCCTTCTAATTTCATGTTCCAAATATACTGCTGGATCTATTGTACTTCTGCTTTTTCTAAAGCCAAATTTATACGATTTTATCTTCTCCTTAGATTCTAAAAAATACATTATTCTATTATTTACCATTTTTTCCATAATTTTACCTAGACATGATGTAAGAGCAATTGGTCTGTAACTTTCTGCTAAATTAGGATCCTTCCCTGGTTTACAAATAGGGACAATAATTGCTTCTTTCCATTTGTTTGGTATCCTCCCTTCCTCCCACACCTTATTATATAATTTTACTAATATTTCTTTGCTCACATCACTAAGATTATTCAACATGCAGTAATTGATTTGATCTTTACCAGGAGTTGACTTCTTGGAACTCTTTAATGCTTCGTTTAATTCCATCAAAGAAAACTTCATATTAATAGTATCCTCATTATCTTCCTCATTTTGAAGTAGTTCAGTGTTCATCCTTAATGTTATTTCTCGTTCTCTTTTTTCTTTATTATTCAGATTTTCTGTACTATGTATTTTTGCAAATGCTTTAGCTAATAATTCAGTTTTATGTTTATTATCAGTTACAATATTTCCTTTATGTTTTATTATTGGAAAATAATAATCTCTTGAATTCCCAGACATTTTTTTTATAGTATTCCAAACCCTGGTTATTGGAGTATTTTTCCCCAGTGTGTCACAATATTTCCTCCAATAATCCCTCTTAGCATATCTGATAATTTTCCTAACTTCTGCTTGTTTCCTTTTATAATTGATCAGATTCTGGAAGTTAATAGACCTTTTCAAAGTTTTAAAAGCCTTATCCTGATGCATGCTCAATAATCCAGGTAGAAAAATCCAAAAAAGTTCAATCTGGTCCTCTGGACATTAAAAAAAAAACTAACTGGGCCTTCCTGAAAGAAGAGAAGAAACCCAAACAGGACTCCAGTCAGCCAACAGGTGAAAAGGAGGAACCCAGACCCAGACCAGTGGTCATTCCATATGTTGAGGGAGTATCAGAGAAACTGAGATGTTTATTTTCTAAACATAACGTCCCAGTGGCTTTTAAACCCCAAAATACATTACGGCAAAGATTGGTTCATCCCAAAGATCCAGTCCCCCGGCACAAACAGAGTAATGTTGTGTATGCTGTTCAGTGTCAGGAGGGCTGTGGTCAGTCTTACATCGGGGAAACTAAACAGCCACTGGCCAAAAGGATGGCCCAGCACAGAAGATCAACATCATCAGGCCAGGATTCTGCAGTCTACACTCATCTCCAGGCCAGAGGTCACTCTTTCAAGGATGAAGATGTTCACATCCTGGACAGATAGGAACGATGGTTTGAGAGAGGAGTAAAGGAAGCCATCTTTGTGAAAAGAAATCGTCCATCATTAAACAGGGGTGGAGGCCTCCGGGTTCAACTGTCCCCCTCTTACAATGCTGTGATTGCTAGTATCACTCAGCCCTCTGTGAACAGTAAACAGCCATCAATGTGCTAATGATCCATTGTTAGGCTGATGGTCCTTCTTGAGCATGTGATCAGCTGGTTTTGGTTGTCAGCAGCAAACTGGTTGATCCACTCTGAGAAGGTGCTATTTAAGAGACTGAGCTGAAAACAGCACCTCAGACTCAGGAAGTCTCTTGGATGAGAGATGAAACGTTTCTATATTTTTTTGCTTTTTTTGCCTTTTTTTTTTTTTTTTTTGAATATCCAGAGGACCAGATTGAACTTTTTTGGATTTTAAAAGCCTTATTACGCAGTTTAATTGCTGCTGTACCTGTATATACACACCCTTGAATATAAGAGGATCTGTGGTGGAAGTAGTCTCCACCTACAAGTACTTGGGTGTGCACCTGAATGACAACCTCAACTGGGGCAAAAACACCACCAGCCTGATCAAGAAAGCTCATCAGAGACTCTACTTTCTCAGGCAGCTGAGGCGAGCTGGTCTGGGAAGCTCAGTCCTCACCTCCTTCTACAGGTGTGCTGTGGAGAGCATCCTGTGCTCCAGCATCAACATGTGGCAGGAGGCTGCACAGCTGCAGAAAGAAAAGCTCTGCAGAGAGTGGTGAAGGCTACAAAGAAGACTGTTGGAGTCAGCCTCCCCACCACCACAGACATTTATACCTCCAGATGCAGGAAGAGAGCCACCTGCATCATGAAGGACCCCACTCACCCAGCACACAAACTTTTTGCCCCGCTCCCCTCAGGCTCCCACTAGACTGAGGAACAACTTCCACCCTGAAGCTGTTAGGCTTCATCCATCCATCCATCCATCCATTATCTTTTACTCACTTCTTCCATTTTGGACCGCAGGGGTAGCTGGTGCCCATGTCCAGCAATTATTGTGCGATGGGTGGGGTACACCCGGAACGGGTTGCAAGTGCATCACAGGGCCACATAGAGACAAATAACCATTCACTCTCTCACTCACACCTAGGGACAATTTTAGAGTTACCAGTTAGACTAACATGCATGTTTTTGGTCTGTGGGAGGTGTAGTTAATTTCTTTTTCGAGTTAAATTATGTGTCGTGACCGAGATAACTGTGAGTGGAGTGTTTAATCAGTGACATGAGACGCCATTTTATCTTTGACCCAGCAGAATAAATGCGGTCATTTATTTAACAGAATCAAAATTTAACATCAAGACATGTACACATTGATTTGCTGATCTGTTTCTGATTAATAAAAACGGCACGCTTTACTAACAAGACAACAGAACATTACTGATTGAGGCATCTAGGTTACTGGCAAAATAGAAAAGTTTAAGGGAAGGAATGGAACAGTTTGAAAGGAAGATGGATAAAGGAAGATGCATGTTTGTTGACCAGAATTAGCACGCTTCTTTCAACACCAGCTCAAACCCCTGGTCCGCTTAGTGAACGACACTCGTGACGTCTTTTTACATTTGCAGTTGATGGACAGCTCCAGTATAGATGTCCCTATGCACGCTACCTTTACAGCGTCTCCGGTCAGGGTGGCTGGTCATCGTCAGAAGTTGTGTGGTTTTTACTTTGTTCAACAGAACAAGCTTCCTTCGAAGTTGTAGGGCGTTACGCCCGGGTGAGTTCACAGCGAGGCGCTGTGACTCCAGCTAGGATGGACGGACCCTCGTCTCATGGTCAAATCCATCAGCTATTGATTAAATCTGAAAGTTCCTTAGGAACTCTCAGGAAGACTCCATAGTCCCAAGAAAGACTCAGGAAAACTGAATAAGACTCCAGGAGGACTGAAGAAGACTGAGTCCGAAGTTCCACTCAGAAGTGGAAGACTCCGGTGAAAGACTCTAGGAAGACTGAATAGTTCCAGGAAGTGTTGACTTTTAAAGAGTACTCACTTCCGGTCAATCGGTACTTCCTGATTGGTTGAAACAACCAACACGGGCGGTGTTTCAGTGATGTCAGAGGGTTATTAGGAGTCAAAAAGACAGCAGGAATGTTTACGAACGTTTAGTACAGACAGAGGAATGTTATGGCGAAGTGAGACAAATGCAGATGCCAGTTGAAGTTATTTACTGTCTGCTAGGTTTAAAAACAAGACACTTCGTTCTAATAACTTGCTTTCTGACTTTTGACTGACATCCCTGACTTCTGACCGACATTCAGACAGAAGATCAAAATGCATAATTAATTTGTAAATGGGCATTTAACTTGATTTCTAATTTCTAATGAGGTTTAAAAATCATTAATACAGTTGATTTAAAATGAGTGGTTCACTTCAATATTTAGAAATGGTATGAACTAAACACACTTTGGTTATCAAGATATTCTAAAATAGTAATGATAATGAACAAAAGAAGAGTGTTCTTTCAATTGATTAATTCAGGATACAATTAAATAGTCTCTTGATGAGCTAATTTGTATTTCTGGATTCAAATCAATGATATAACAATTCCTGTCCCATGAAGGTCTTCAAAGACAGATTGTTGTCGGAGGCCTAGTTCACTACAGTGGAAATCAGAGTACCAGGAGAAAACCCACGTATGCACGAAGAGAACACGCAAACTCCACCCAGAAAGGCCCCCCGGTTCGGGATTTGAACCCGCAACCTTCTTGCTGAGAGGCAGCATGTCTACCAGTTGCACCACCGTGCTGCGAAGTTAGACTCAAGAATCCCTAATAAGGATTATCACTGTGAACTAATAAAATTTAGCGTATATCTTAGTTTATATCTTAGATCCTTATTTACTGTTTCTTTTTACATTTTATAATTTTGCTATTGTTGGATGTAACTGGGACCCTTTGTACACAATTTTGTTCCACCATGTGTACCACATATAATGCAAATGACAATAAAGAACCTTGACATTGACCTTGATATACTAACTAATGATTATATTAATTTAAACAGAAACCTCCTGATGCATGCTCAAAAATCCAGGTAGAAAAATATAAAAAAGTTAAATCTGGTCTGAAATCCTCCATCGTTAAACAGGGGTGGAGGCCTCCGGCTTCAACTGTCCCCCTCTTACAATGCTGTGATTGCTAGTATCACTCAGCCCTCTGTGAACAGTAAACAGCCATCAGTGTGCTAATGATCCATTGTTAGGCTGATGGTCCTTCTTGAGCATGTGATCAGCTGGTTTTGGTTGTCAGCGGCAAAACTGGTTGATCCACTCTGAGACGGTGCTATTTAAGAGACTGAGCTGAATACAGCTCCTCAGACTGAGGAAGTCTCTCGGATGAGAGACGAAACGTTTCTACATTTTTTTGTTGATTTGCTTTGTTTTGTTTTTTTGGATGTCCAGAGGACCAGATTTAACTTTTTTAGATTAAACAGAAACCCCTAATTATTTTTCTAGGAGTTTAATAGGGATCTGGATTATTTCGCATTTGTCTTACTTTGCTTTCTTCCGCAGGAGTTTCTGAGACTCGGGGTAATGAACCAGGATTTCTGCCAGGTCCTTCTTATCCAGGATGAAGAGGTTCGCGAATCCATGTGCCTTCACATTGGCTGTTCGCCGGTTTCCTCCACCTCCTGCAAGCAGACTGATCGATCAAACAGAAAAAAAAGCTCCTGTAAACATTTTTGATAAAAAAAAAACAAAAAAACATCAAGTCTGACTCTTGAAATATTTACACAAAATCAAAGCTGTAATATGACATATCCTGAGATATATTCATCAATTAAACGGGTTCTTTCATTTTTCTGGACTGTATAACATACGTGCATTGAATTTAATAAAATGTGGACGTGAGACGTTAATTATCTTTGACTCACCAAACGAGTGGGTCATTTATTAACAGAATCAAGTTTAACACATCACACATTTACATTAATTGGCAAGAATTGAAAAATAACGACATAATTAATCAGCTTTACAACCAGGAAAACCATACGGCCATGATTTTCCGTTGCTTCACCACAGACATTTCTGAAAACATCTAGATTAATTTGCTAGCAGATAGGAGAGTTTAAAGATGGAAAGATGAGGTTTATCTACAGAGAGATGTGTGAGGGAATTTGTCTGTTTTAACCAGAACATGCACGCTCCTTTGGAAATCAGCTTGGGCCAACGGTACGCTTGGTTGAGATAGAACTTTTTACCTTGCAGACGATAGCTTCAGCGTCGGTGTAGAGCTCTCCTTTCAACTCTTTCAGCGTCTCCGTGAGAACAGCTAAAAACCCCTGGAGTCGTGAGGTTATCCAAACAGAAGTTATAATTCCCAAATCGTCTCTGGTTCAGCTTGATTCTCTTTCAGCAGCATCCTGAATTCCAGCGTTCTGCATTCTGGAACTCCAAAAACTCTCTGCTTGAACTAGGAAGTGCCAACATTTAAATGGGCTCTACTTCCGGTTCATTTGAGAGCTTTTTGATTGGTCGATGGACCAAAGCAGAGGTGTGGTTTGTGATGTAAGGTGTTATGAAAAGTCAAGGAAAAGAGTAAGATTGTTTAAGAACAGACAGAAAGATTGTTATGGAGAATTCAGACTTCGTGGAGCCACCTCTCCCAGTATCTCGCTGTAAAAGTTAAACATGACATTTCTTTTCAGTAAACTTTCAGTTGACCGAAACTTGAACTTCGACACACTTACAACTTCGCTCATTGAAGACAGAAAATCAAGAAATGCATATTAACCTGATTTCTTCTTTGAATGAGGATTAAAAATCATTATTACTGTTTTAAGTAAATAAAAATGAGTAGTTCACTTCAACATGTAAACATTGTTTGAACTAACACAATTTGATTATCAAAACATTTGTAAAATAGTAATGATCATAGAGAATAGTCTTTTTCCACTTGATTAATTCAAGAAAGAAAGTCTCAGGATGGGTCAACCTGTATTTCTGGATGTAAATCAATGAAATGACAGTTTCTGACCATATGATCCTAAGGTCAAGTTTTGAGATCAGGCTAAGTTCACTACAAAGCTGAGGATTCTTTTCTGACACATTTTTTTTAGTTACAAAAAAATATTTTTCTTAAACATAATGACAGAGCTGCAGCCGCAAAATCACTGTGAATAGTTTCCTTTGCTTTGTGTAGCATCATAAAAAAAAATCTGTCCTGATCAGGTTTCATCATCCTTTTTTGTCTCAGGGTTTTTGTTGAAGAGACTGGTTCCTGTTCATAATGCAGCCTCCAAGACAACAGGAAACTGGTCTCACCTGATCTCTCCGAACACTGAGCCAGCTCTGATGGTGACGAACACTGTCTGCAGATCTGGACCCCCCACCACCTGAACCTCCCCCTGTTTGATAATGTACATCTCTCTGCCGATCTCCCCCTGAAACACACGGTGCATGAGAAGGCTGGCTCCAGCTCAGCAGCACTTGAACACAGCTTACCATGGGTTCATACCTTCTTACAAACAAAGTCTCCAGGCAGGTATACAACGGACTTGAGCCTGGTCAGCATGTCAAACATCATCTGCCTGTCGCAGCCCTGAAACACATGCAGACAGTTCAGTTCCTGCCTCCTGGCTCAGAACCATCAACTTATGGTTTTGTTTCATGGCTCTGACCTGAAACAGGGCCACTTTACTGACAATGGAGTAGTTGACGTCCACGGCAATGTCCAGCCTCATCTTAGCAGGCAGCTGCACCAACAGCTCCTGTTCATCTGCACAAGAAGCCCCTCAGTCACCATAAATTCAACACGATGTGTTCAGGAAATGAGGGGTTCTTCACACCAAACATTTTCAGTCAAACTCAAGACAAAACCTGACTCCAAATGAGGCCGCCAGGTGAAAGGTTGAAGATTTTTGTGCCAGTGTGTTTGTTTTTGTTTGAAGTCCAATGCCCTTCCTGACACAACCCCTACTATTTCCCCAGGCTTGGGACTGGTACAAAAGATATACTAGCTTGTGACCCCTAGTGGATTTTTTAGCAAATAAAAGCATAGTTTCCTCAAATGAGTGGGTGACCTGTTTATATAAGGTGGTAGCCATTTTGGATTTTGATTCGGCAACCCAATTTTTTGATTGTGACCTTTCTTATGCCGAGATGCAGTCACACAACAAAATGGAAAACGGTACTTGTCTTATTTTTAAGTTATCCCAATCACAACATGGACAAATGGCCAGACAGATGAATGGGGGACAATTATTGACTGTAAATCTAAAACTCATGAACATCTACTATCAACGCCACAGCTAATCAGCTTTAGTAAAAACACAAAAATGGACATAACACAACAAATTACCAATACTGAATTAAATTTGGTGTGGTCGTAGCTGAGTGTTAACCAACATATACTGTACTCCAAACACTAGCACATCATGACCTGTCATTTACAAGTATTAATCAAGATGGTTACAGCTCCCCTTTCTGGGTGGAGTTTGCATGTTCTCTCCGTGCATGCGTGGGTTTTCTCCGGGTACTCCGGTTTCCTCCCACAGACAAAAACATGCATGTTAAGCTGATAGGTAACTCTAAATTGTCCCTAGGTGTGAGTGAGAGAGTGAATGGTTGTTTGTCTCGTTTGTCTCTATGTGGCCCTGTGATGGACTTGCGACCCGTCCAAGGTGTACCCCACCCCTCGCACAGTGATTGCTGGACATGGGCACTGGCGATCCCCGTGACCCAAAATGGAACAAGTGGGTAAAGATAATGGATGGATGGATGGGTTCCAGCTCCATCATTTCTCAACATAATATGATCCCAGTCTAAACTTCTGGCATTATGGAAGGTGGGTGATGTGCATTGCATCACCGGTTTTAAATATTTCTGTAAAAAGAGGACTTTTTTGGTGTGAGAGGAAAAAAGATGAACTGATTTAATGTTGTGTTTGTCCTGAAAACCGTGTGAGATCTGAGTTCCACCTTGTTTGAGAAGACCTTATGTTCTACAGACCAAACAGTGTGGGTGAGTTTGGGTCTGGTTCCTTACCCAGCATGCCCTGGCTCTTCCAGGTGTAGTCATACCAGGTCTTGATGCGGCTCTGAACTTCACGGGGTATGCTGTAGGAGTTCATGTACTTGATGGTGCTGTCCATACAGGCCCGGTAGTAGTTCTCCCCTGCAGTCGCTGCTCCAACTACATCTCTCATCTAAAAAACAAAGAAATCTGAGCAAAACCAGATGGGAACCAGGTGAGTCCAGACCTACAGGACACCCATTTTACTCTGGAACCAACTCCCCAAAATAGATCAAACATTATATGAGCTGGTCTTGGACTTACCTGGCCAATCATGATGGAGAAAGCAAAGACACCAACAAAGTAGTTGATGAGCTGGAAGCAGATCTCAAAGACGGTGGTGGGGTCCGGCAGTCCTCCGATGGTGATCAGGGTCTTCACAGCAAAGTAGTAACAACGGATGTAACTATAAAAGTAAATAACGAGGGTTTTATTAGAAAAATTATGTTAAATTTAATCCGATGGATTTATAAGAGAACTGCTAATCATGAGTTGTAGTGTTCTTGTAACATTGTGTTTTATTGCCTGGAGGTCTACAAATGTTGACAGTAATCTCATAAATAAACCCGAATTGAATTTTTACTGTTTTCAAAGCAGATGAGTAATTTTAAGATGGCCTGAAAACTGCAGAGTGGAGACACACTGAACACCCAGATAAGTGGATGGACTAAAAGAGAAACCTCTTAGTCATGCTGAGGAGGTCCAGGAATTTTAATTTTTTTATTGTTATATTTTTGTGGTGCTGTTTGTCCTAGGAATTTCTGTCAGAAACCCTGGCTGAATGCTGAGGTGAGAGATCTGCTGAAAGCTAGGTACACTGCGTTCAGGACAGGTGAGGCATCAGCACTCTGAGAGGTGAGGAAAAGACTGACTGCAGGCATTGCAAGGGCCAAAGCCACATACACCCAGAAAATTCAGGGTCACTTCATCACCAACAACCCCCGGCGCATGTGGAAGGGCATCAATTGCATTACGAACTGCAACATCAGGGATGCACAATGCCCAAGGGACCCCTCATTGCCAGATGCACTCAAAAAGTTCTAAGCTCGCTTTGAGGATCCTAACCCCCCCCCCCCCCCCCACCACCACCACCCAACTTTTACCACCACCCAGTGACACACCCCTCTGTGTAACCACAGCAGATGTGAGCAAGACCCTCTAGGGAATCAACCCCCGTACGGCTGCAGGCCCAGACAACATCCCAGGGCGAGTACTGAAGGACTGCACACACCAGCTGTCTGAAGTGTTGGCGGATATCTTCAACACCTCACTGTCAATGGCAGTTGTCCCGAACTGCTTTAAATCTGCCTCTATTGTCCCTTTACCCAAGTGCTCCACAGTGACAGGCCTGAATGACTACCAACCTACAGCCTTAACATTGGTAGTCATGAAGTGCTTTGAGAGGCTGGTCATGACCCACATCAGTACGCCTACAGAAGGAACTGCTCCACTGCTGACATTATCTCATCGGTGGTCCACACAGCCCTCACCCACCTGGAGAGCAGAAATTCTTACATCCATCTGCTCTTTCTGGATTTCTCCTCGGCCTTCAACACCATCATCCCACAGACCCTGGTGCAGAAGCTCTCCTTTCTTGGACTGAGTCCCACACTGGGGAACTGGATTCTGGACTTCCTGACCAACAGACCTCAGTTTGTCAGGATCCACAACATTGCCTCCTCCTCCATCACCCTCAGCACTGGCTTGCCCTAGGGCTGCGTGCTGAGTCCACTCCTGTTCACTCTGCTGACATATGACTGCTTGGCTAGACACCCTAGCTGCCATATAGTGAAGTCTGCGGACAACACAGCAGTAGTGGGAGGCATCACAAACAATGATGAGTCCAAATACAGAGAGGAGGTGGAACACCTGGTGCAGTGATGCAGAGACAATAACCTCTGCATCAATGTGAAGAAGACCAAGGAAATGGTGGTGGATTTCAGAAAGGACAAGGATCCTCTTCATCCCCTAAAAATCAGAGGAGCAGCTGTGGAAGTGGTTTCCTGCTACAGGGACCTGGGGGTGCAGTGACCTCACCTGGAGAGCCAAAACTTCCTGTCTGGTCAAGAAGGTCCACCAGTATCTCTACTTCCTCAGGAAGCTGCGGAGAGCTGGACGTGGGAGCTCTGTCCTGAAGAGCTTCTATCGCTGTGTGGTGGAGAGCTTTCTCTGCAACTGCATCACCGTGTGGCACGGCAGCTGCACCGCTGCCGAGAGGATGGCTCTGCAGACGGTGGTTAAGGCTGCACAGAAGACTGTGGGTAGCAGCCTTCCCACCACCTCAGACATCTACACTTCACAATGCAGGAGGAGGGTGTTCTGCATCATGAAGGACTCCACTCATCCTGCACACAGTCTGTTCCAGCCCCTCCCCTCAATCAGGTGGCTGAAGAGCATTCAGAGCAAGATCACCAGACTCAGAAACAGTTTCTTCCCTGCAGCTGTCAGACTGCTGGACTCGAGCTGCACTTAATTCATCTTCATCTTACATTTTTTAACTTATATGTATATATATATATATATATATATATATATATATATATATATATATATATATATAATAAAATATTTTGTATTTGTTTATTTATTTGTTAATATTTGTTAATTGTTAGGCTTCTGATCTGGGACCTGAGTCCAAATTTTGTACAATAAACACGCAAATGTGGGCTGGTATGACACTAAAAAAATCCTTGAATCCTTGCTGCCTAGATCTACTCAGAACAGTTCTGAGATCAAAAGGGTTTGCCTATACTTCACTGCCTTTTTTAGACTATAAAAGACTTTTTGGTTCGAGGCTCCCACTCTAACCCTGAAAGCAAACCTTGAGTATAGAACCCTGTGGATAGAACATGAGCTGAACCACACCGGATCATCAACTCATCGTCTTGCAGCATTATTGTATAAAATCACATAAATCTGCACATCTCCTGGAGTGTTCTGGAATAAGTGGTCTCTGCAGCTTTGTGTTTTTGTAGTGTGGATGAGATCTTGAGTTCTTACGCATTGCCCTCTCCGTTGTAGACCCATTTGGTGGATCCCAGTCCTTCATAGTCAGAACCCCAGTAGAAGAGACAGGCATTGATGTGAAGAGAGTACAGCAGGTAGGTGGAGGTCCGGATCACCCTGACACACACCAACAACAACATCATCATCATCATCGTCGTTGTTGTCATCATCATTGACAACAACAACATCAACAACAACAGAGAGAATGTGAAATAAAAATACAAGTTGGCATTCCTCAGGGATTTATATTGGGTTCATTATTTTTCAGAATCTTGTTTAGTTGATGGCAGATGAGACAGACAGGGGTAATCTAGGGTCAGGGTTCAATCAATACTCAGGATTTTGAATGTTTTTTCTTTGTAGAATTTTGTAAGTTTATTCTGATCATACAACCTGCTGCCATATATAGAGGATTTTTCCCATGATGCTGCAATTTCACAACTTGGCATTGTGCTGTTGGTCCACTGATATACAAGCTAATATATACAAAGTATAAGATTCTTTCTTCAACACATTTTTAGGAATAACATTGCCCCATTTGTTCTGTATCCTTAAGTATAGACAACCCTTAGCATCCTCTTCATCAGTGTAGTGAACTCGGCCTCCGACCAAAACCTGGCTCTGAAGACCTTCATGGGACAGGAACTGTTATTTTATGGATTTGAATCCAGAAATACAAATTAGCTCATCCAGAGACTGTCTAATTGTATCCTGAAGTAATCAATTGAAAGAACACTCTTCTTTTATATTATCATTGCTATTTTATAATATCTTGATAATCAAAAGTGTGTTTAGTTCATACCATTTCTAAATGTTGAACCACTCATTTTAAATCAACTGTGAAACAGTATTAATGATTTTTTAAAAATCCTCATTTAAATTAGAAATCAAGTTAAATGTCTATTTACAAAGTAATTATGCATTTTGATCTTCTGTCTGAATAAGAAGTAGTGATGTCGGTCAAAAGTCAGAGACAGTCAGAAAGAAGTTGTTAGAACGGGCTGTATTGTTTTGAAACCTAGCAGACAGTAAATAAGAGCAACTGGCACCTGCAAAGTTTCTCACGTCCTCAAAACATTTCCCTGTCTGTACTAAAAGTTCCTAAACATTCCTGCTGTCCTCTTGACTTGTAGTGACCCTCTGGCATCACTAGAACCACCCCCTGTTGGCTGTTTCAACCAATTGGGAAGTCCTGAAGTGACCGGAAGTGAGAACTCTTTAAAAGTCCACACTTCCTGGAACTACTCAGTCTTCTGAGTCTTCAAGTCTGTCTTCTGAGTCGAGTTGGGGTCTTCTGCAGTCTACTGAGTTGAACTCAGTCTTTGATGGAGTCTTCCACTCCTGAGTGGAAACTCTGACGGACTCACAGCCTTTCTGTGTATCCACCCGGGAGATGAGCGTGTTTGTTGAACGGAATAAACGACACGACTTCTGACGATGGCCAGCCGCTCTTACCGGAGACGCTGGAAGGTAGCGTTGAAATGGATCCGACACTGGAGCGGATTTATCTTCTGCAAAGGTAACGAGTCGTGACGCGCTAAGTGTACCGGAGGTTTGAGCTGGTATTGGAGGGAGCGTGCCATCCTGGTCCGAACAGACACCCCCTTTACCCATCTTTTCTCTTCATTCCTTCCTTTAACTTATCTTCTATTTTGCCAGTAATCTAAATGCCTTCAGAAATGTCTTGTTGTCTTATTAGTAAAGCGTGCCAAGTTTAATTAATCAGAACCAGATCAGCTAATCACGTGTACATGTTTTGATGTTAAATTTTGATTCTGTTCAATAAATGACCACATTTATTCTGATGGGTCAAAGAAAATTAACGTCTCATGTCACTGATTTAAACAATCATCACAGTTATCTCGTCACATGGCCTTAATTTAACTCGAAAAAGAGAGAACCCGTTATATTTAAATAATTAGTAGTGGAGGTGCAACTAAGCTGGCCCTGACACCACTACATCAGATTGTCATACAACAACAAAGTGTCTTCAGTCATAGGCTTCTTCAAATCCGTTGTAGGACAGACCGCTACAAGAGATCCTTCCTGCCCACAGCCATCAGCAGCTATAACAACTCATTAATGAAACCAGGATGATGAGTTACCACAACATATAATTTCCCTCTGGGATTAAAAAAGTATTTTTGAATTTAATTGAATTGAAGTAAGAACTGTTTATATATTACTATATTATTATAAAAACTACCTGCCAGCATCAAAATGTTAAAGTGCATTAAAATGAAAAGACTCTGTGAGATGAATCACTGTGAAGACAAAAGGCCTTGAGTGAGCACCACAAAGTCTAGAACTAAAGACAAGATCTTATTTAATTTATCTTCATTTCAGGTTTATCTAATTCAGTTTAATTCAGTTTATTTATATAGCGCCAAATCACAACAAAGTTGTCTCAGGGCACTTTACAGAAACATTCACATACATAAAAGCCAATTAGTAAAGTTCTTTATCTAAGGAGACGAGCAGACAAGTTGAATCTTGGCTTTGTTGCAGTCTCCCATCCTGAGCAAGCACAGTGGCAACAGTGGAAAGGAAAAACTCCCTTTTAAAAGGAAGAAACCGCCAGCAGAACCAGGCTCAGGACAAGCAGCCATCTGCTTTGACCGGCTGGTTTGAGAGGACAGGAAGGAGAGACAAACAAACACAGAATTGTAGGTCTAGATATAGGTCCAGGTGTACCTGAAAGACAACCTCCCCCCCGCCCCCCCATGTTAAGGATAGAAAAAATAATTACAATTACAAAACAGTTTGAGCAGAGTAAGTAAAAACAGTAGCAGAGTGAAAAGTGTGGTCAGTTTGTCCTCCAGCAGTCTAAGCCCATAGCAGCATAACTAAGGGACAGCTCAGGAAACCCAAGCCGACCCTAACTATAAGATTTAGCAAAAAGGAAATTATTAAGCCTAGTTTTAAAACTGGATCATGTGTCAGCCTCACGGACAGAGATTGGAAGTTGGTTCCACAAGAGAGGAGCCTGATAACTGAAGGATCTGCCTCCCATTCTGTTTTTGTAAATTCTAGGAACCACAAGTAAACCTGCAGCCTGAGAGCAAAGAGCTCTGTTAGGAAAATATGTAACAATAAGATATGTAATATAAGATGGAGCTAAGTTGTTGAGAGCTTTGTAGGTTAGAAATAGGATTTTGAATTCTACTCTGGATTTGACTGGGAGCCAATGGAGAGAAACTAAAACTGGAGAGATATGATCTCTCCTACTAACTCCAGTTAAGACTCTGGCAGCAGCATTTTGGATCAATTGAAGACATTTTAAAGAAGTATTTGGACACCCAGATAATAATCCATTGCAATAGTCCAGTCTAAACGTGACAAATGCATGGACCAGTTTTTCTGCATCATTTTTAGATAAGATGTTTCTAATTTTAGCAATATTACGCAGGTGGAAGAAGGCAGTTCTAGTAACGTTTTTAATGTGGGGGATAAAAGACATGTCCTGATCAAAAATAACACCAAGATTTTTAACATTAGAGCTGGAGGACAGATTAACGTCATCTAAGGAGAGAGAAAGACTGAAAAATTAATTCCTAAAGTGCTCAGGTCCAAAAACCAAAACCTCAGTTTTGTCTGTGTTCCAAGGAGAAAATTAAGGATCATCCAGGTTTTTATGTCTTTAAGACATGCTTGTAGTCTAAGTAGCTGATTGGATTCATTGGGTTTAATGGACAAATATAATTGTGCGTCATCAGCATAACAATGAAAATTTATCCCATGCTGTTTAATAATTTTACCTAATGGAAGCATATATAAAGTAAAGAGTATTGGCCCAAGTACTGAGTCCTGAGAAACTCCATGACTAACTTTGGTGTATGAAGAAGATTTATTATTTACATTTACAAACTGGAATCTATCAGATAGATATGATTTAAACCATTTTAGAGCTGTTCCTGTAATCCCAATATCATATTCAAGCCTCTATAGTAAAATATTGTGATCATCTGTATCAAATGCAGCGCTGAGGTCTAACAGGACCAGTATAGACACAAGTCCATCATCTGAGCCCATGAGAATATCATTAGTGATTTTTACTAGTGCTGTTTCTGTACTATGATTAGCTCTAAACCCTGACTGAAACTCTTTAAACAGATTATTTCTTTGTAGATGGTCACACAACTGACCTGCAACTATTTTCTCCAGAATTGGATTTAGTCTTTAGTCCAAAGGCAGAGTGATATGTATGAGAGAGGATCTGTGTGTGATTTGTGATTCTTGTGTCATCTGTCCTGCCTTCAGTGTTTCTCCCTCTTGTAATCAGCTCCTGCCTCTGTCACCTGTTGTCCTTCCCTAGGTGTTTGTGTTTAATCCCTCATTAGTGGCTCCATATATTCTGCATTTCTTTATTGTTCCCCTGTCCGAGGGTTGCTCACTCGTGTTTGGAGCTGACAGCTGTTGGCTAATTAGACTGTAGACGTTTGGACTTGTTCTTTGGACCTGGTTGGACTGGGTCGGGTGAGAAATAGTGATAAATTGTTGACCGACGGCCTGTATAGGTCCGGACCAGCAATCATCACTCATTTTTTACCTGTCCTTTAGAATGTCAGGGAGAGATGAGGGTAGTAATATGGAGTATGATGAGAGCGGTTTCCTGCTAGTTCCAGGATCTCAGTGATCAGGCACTCGAGCACAGCTGGCAGGTAGATGAGAATGCGTCCACAGAACATTCTTTTCAACTCACTTGAGATTTGGGGCTGTAGTTGAGATATTATTTGAGCTTTTGAGATGTTAATCAGCAGCTGTTGGTTGTAGAAAACAGCCTTGTTGCCATAGTTACGCATCAGAACAAATGCCCAAAACTAAAAAAGTTTCAGTAAAAATCCTTCCATCTGCACAGCATCTGATACCAGAGGAAACAACCATCCAAAAAATGTGATTTACATCCAGAAAAAGAGGAATTAAAGTTTCCAAAAGCAAAATCTCAAAATGAATGTAACAGAGCTGCTCCAACATGCAGCCACCTTGAGCGGCGCAATTCTAGAACACATGGTAACGTATGGTAAGTGTGGAGAGGGAGTACAGCCAAAATGTTGTAACTGTGGAGGAAATCACAGTGTGGCCTATTGGGGGTGTGAAGTCTTAAAAAGAGAGATTGT